AAGGAGAAAGACGATTGGATGGTATATCTGTAGACGGATATTGCAAAGAAACAAATACTGTTTATCAATACTACGTAAGAGTTCAATATTTATTTATTTATAAATATATTATTTAATTTATTTATTTATTGGTATTATACGAAAAAATTTTTAACTATCGCAGGGATGTTTCTTTCACGGTTGCTCCACCTGTTTTGACGGAGATGCACTCCACCCCATAACAAAATTACCCATGTCGACATTGCGACAACAAACGGTAGACAAGACTTACCAGCTACGTGATCGAGGGTATAATGTAATTGAAATGTGGGAGCATGAGTTTGAGATGAAAAAGAAAACAGATGAAAAAGTAAAATATTTTCTTCTAAGTCACGAGCTTCAGGATCGATTGAATCCTAAAGATGCTTTCTTCGGCGGCGGGCGGACAAATGCCATTCAGCTGTATTATGAGGGTGATGCAAAGTATGTGGATTTCACTTCACTGTATCCATGGGTAAATACTTTTTTTTCTGTGTTTTGGCATAAAATAATCTTATTAAACGCGCATGTCTTATTTAAAAAGAAAATCGCTTTTCCGATTATTCATATTTTTTCAATTTTTCCTAGGTCAATAAATACTGTTTGTACCCCGTCGGACACCCTAATATTATTACTGAAAATTTTGATGCCTTGGAAAACTATTTCGGTATTATAAAGTGCCGAATACTGCCTCCTCGAGGTTTATACCTCCCCGTATTGCCGTACAGAGCACAAAATAAACTGATGTTTCCCCTCTGCAAGACTTGTGCTGAATTAATGTATCAAGGCATTTGCCAGCACTCAGATGATGAGAGAGCCATCATTGGCACATGGGTGACTGAAGAAGTCAAATTAGCAGTGAAAAAAGGTTACTGTATAACAAAGGTAAGTATTTTGGGTAATTATTAGTATTATTGAATGTGTTATAAATGTCACAGCATGTATTTTTATTGTATATTATTATATTCATATTCCCACTATCTTTTTTTTTTTTTTTTTTTTTTTTTTTTTTTCAGATTTATGAAGTGTACCATTTTTCTCAATTTACGGATACTCTATTTCAATCTTATATCAACTTGTTTTTAAAAATAAAACAAGAAAGCAGCGGCTGGCCAGCCGATTGTGTAAGCTCGACCGAACGAAAACGCTACATTGAAGCCTATTTTGAGCGAGAGGGTGTGCAGCTTGATGAATTTAATATTAAGAAGAATCCTGGAAGACGGCAAGTAGCCAAATTGGCTTTGAACAGCTTCTGGGGGCGGTAAATAATTATTATAATGTTTTTTAATAGAAAGAGTTGTTTCACATCTTTATATCATTTATTATTTCTTAAAAAAAATGCTCATTCTTTTCTTATATATTTTTTTTTTCTTTAAAGATGGGGAATGAACCTGAACAAGATACGTTTGACTTATGTTCATACATTACCTGATTTCAATAAATTATTAGCAGATCCAACAAAAAATGTAAGTTTTGTAATTTTATTTTCTAATGTAAATTAAGATGTATATTTTTAAATGATTAATCTTGCAACCTGCTAACTTTTCCTCCAGATCAAAGACTTATATTTTCCGACTCCTGAAGTAGCTGCTGTGCAATGGGACTATAAACATTATTTTGTTCCACAGGACACATCCACAAATGTGTTCTTGGCAGCTTTTACTACTGCATGGGCACGGTTAAAGCTTTACAGTGAAATGGAGAAGTTGGGCCGTGCTGTGTTGTATCATGACACGGATTCAATTATATACGCAAGCGATTTTACCAACGATCCGCCTCTTGGTAATTTTTTGGGGGATTTTACAGATGAACTCAATGGAGATACTATTACTACATTTGTCTCTGGTGAGCTTCATTTTTTATTTTATTTTTTATTAGGTTGATCTTTTATTCTTGTAGTTTCTGTAGCATATTTTTTCCCCCATTCAGGAGGCCCTAAAAATTACGCTTATGTAACAGCCCGAGGAATGACTTGCTGTAAAGTTCGAGGTTTTTCTCCCTCAACTTCAAAAATCAACAGATTTTAAATTTTTTTGGAGATTAAGAATTTAGTGTGCTCGATGGATCGAAAAAAACAACAATCGCCATGTACGATGAACATAAAATCATGAGAGATGCCAAAAAGAGGAAAGTTTTAACTAAGGCAGAAACAAAACTGTACAAAATTGTTTACAACAAAAGGGTCCTAAAAGAAGATCTAATCTAACTACTGTTCCCTATGGATTTTAAGTGGTATGCATCTCATTTATTTTATTTCATTGCAGGGTTATTGTTGAATTAATGTTAAAAAAAATTATATTTTGCAGTAAAATTTTAAAATTGTGTGGTTGACTTTTTTTCTTTTTTTTTTTTTTTTTCTTAGCCTTTTCTTAAACGAGAGGAGTATATAAAGCTTCACACATTTCTGAAGATCATCAGTACCCCACAAAATGGAGTGGCCTGTGTTGAAACACCCTTCCACATCTCTCATCAGCGGTCCGACAGGATCCGGTAAGACATATTTTGTGAAACGAGTCATCGAAGAAAGTCTGCTTTTCTCCTATGCCTCAGCGTATAATTTATTGCTATGGAGCATATCAACCTATTTTTAGTAAAATGAAAAATGTGCAGTTTGAAGAAGGACTACCATCGAACCTCAATTCCCTGCAAAATGCACTAATTATCATTGATGATTTAATGTCTGAGTTAGCGAGCGATACTCGTTTAAGTAAACTTTTTACGAAAGGAAGCCCATCACCGAAATCTTTCTATAATATTTATCGTTCAAAATTTATTTCAGCAGGGTAAAGAGATGCGAACCATTCATTTGAATTGTCATTACATGATACTGTTCAAAAATCCTAGAGATAAATGTCAAGTCGTACATTTGGCAAGGCAGATGTTCCCCGGGAAAACAAAGGCTTTTCAGGAAGTCTTCCAGGATGCAACTTCAAACCCTTACAGTTATTTACTAATAGATTTAAGACCAGAAACCCAAGAAATGTTAAGGTTACGTACAGGCATTTTCCCTTCAGATAAGCATTTTGTTTTATGAACTCCGTTAGTTGCTGTTGCACTCAACAAGTTTTCTCCTTCAGTGATTTAATTTGTAGGTTTTTTAAAATTTAAAACTCTCTTTTACATTGTAAAAGAATAAAATTTGCCACACCGAATTTTTTTTTTTTTTTTTTTTTTTTTTTGAAAATTAGATTATTTAAAAAATGTCCTAAAATATAAGATCTGCACAAAAAGCGGTTGCTTATGCGACCTTTATAAAAGAGAAGGAATTGTTAAAGTACCAATCATTTGAGGTCCAGATGTCGAGCCTGGAACATCTTAAACTCCTAGGCAAAAGTAAAGTAAAAAAAAACTCTTCTAAGAAAATGTCCCAATAGTGTTATTAAAAGTGTATGTGAATGTGCTTTAAATGTATTACAGGGTAACGTTCCTTTGTCTAAAAGACAGAAACGTAAACTGGCCGTATATAAACGGACTTTGCGTACATTAGGTGATAAAAAGATACCCTTATTTAAAAAACGGAGACTATTGGTACAAAAAGGTGATGGATTTCTTTCGTTGCTCATTCCTTCCTGCCGCAGTTTCTGTACTGAGCACATTAATTAATGGAGTTCGCTCGTAAATTTATCCTTGTACCCTCGGATCGAGAATTAGAATTTGCTGAAAACCATTTATCAGATTTAGATCAGCAAATGAGCACCATTTTAAACGAGAAGTTATCCGAAGATGAAAAAGCCAAGCAATACCTTCAAATACTTCAAAAATATGTAACATTTCCCCAATTAAAATCAGAAACACAAGAAAGTGTTCAGCTTAGCAAAGAAGAAGAGAAAAAGTTTACCATGGAAGAAGAAATTGTGAATTCCGCTCCAGTGAAATTTAAGAACATTGCCAAAAGAATTATAGACTTTTTAAAACTTCACAATGATATTATTACATGGACTCCATCTAAAGAATTAATCATGAACCAAGTTAAAATTAATAATTCTAATGTTCAAGACTTGGTGAATTATTTGTTAAGAAATCAACAGACCAAGCCTGTAGGTTATGAAGAGTTTAAAAAATTCTTAGATGTTGTTGTAGATTTTCCCAGGGAGTTTGTAAAAAACAAGTATCTGTTTACAATGTATGCTAAACCTAAATGTGTAAAAAAGAAAAGAAAATTGTATTCAACTTCTTGGATAAAATATTAAATAAAAAGAAAGATATTAGTTAAATTTGGTGTGTTTTTATGTGTGAAAAAATATTTTTTAATTTCAGGTTGAAAAAAAATGATCCAGATTTTTTTTTAAAGGTAAGTTTTTTTTCCTTAAAAAATGTGCAGATGTCATGAGTAAAATAAATCTTTTTTTTTCCAGTAATTTACAATGGAAAATAATTTTTAAGCTTAAATGAAACCTTTAAAATTTATTCTATAACTAAAAGGTAAAAGAAAAGTTATTTAAGAAAATTGTAAATTGCACTTTATTAATAAGAAAGACAAAACTAAAATTCCAAGCAAATTAATATTTTATTTCTTAAAAATCATTTTTACACCATACCTTTTCTTCTTTTCTTCACAAAATGAAATACATGAAAATCGCTATTTCTTACAGAAAGATTAGATACAATTGATTCCAAACATAATCCTTGACATCGTTTTAACAAATAATAAGTACAATATTGTCCACAAACATTTGATGTTACACTCTGAAGAGAAACTTGATTCCATGTCACACAGTTAAACTTGCTAGTAAATTTTGCTATGTCATCACCATAAGTCATGGGAGGAAGTCCATAAGAATCGAAAAATTCTAAAGTCTGATTATTTTCAATGAAGAAAGCCAGCCAGTGCGTCCCTTTCTCGTTGTGTTTATCAGTGTTGACTACAATAGCTGCTGGGAAACGATGAACATCTGGGATTTTATCTGAAGGGAAAACTCCAGTGTAGTACTTTGCTGTCCATTTGTCATGAGAGAGTATTCTATGAATTTCTGAAGAATTCATTAGTTACCAAAATCGTAGATAATATTTCTAGATTTATTGATTTCTATTAAGTTTTCAAATTCTGCATAGACTATTAACGATGTTGTTATTGGCAGAGGGAAACCGAATTTTACCTCCAGTCTCAAATTACTATGACGGACTAAATTCAAGTGAGAACCATCACACAAGTCAGGTGATAGATCGAAAAGAAATAAGCAGTATCCTTCTGGATACTCTGATCTCGAAAGATACAATCCTCGGTTTTCTGCATTGGCAAATAAATTCTGATAAGCACGAATAAAGGTTTTATTCATGAAATCAGGTTGAAGAGGATTGTGAGGCATAGGTTGCCCATCTACGTAAATGCCAATAAAATTGATATGATTGTGCTTAAATTCGAAGGGAGATTTTTTATAGTTTCCGTTGAAAGCATCATTATCGACACAAGCAACAATTAAGCGTTTAGGCATCTGGCCCGTAAAAATACTATCTTGAACAAAACTCATATTTCCTGATGGAATGGAATACACTTTGCAAAGCACTCGGTTGATAGGATATTTCGCTGTCGCTTTTTTTTTCTAAACTTTTTGCATGCCCTAAAATTACACCTGGACTGACTCGAACTTTGCGTACAAATAATGAGGCATGTTCCAATGACACTTTAAAATTCCCCTCCCCCAGTAAACAAAATTCCGGTTTGCTGCGGATAAGTTTAATTTTCATATCGACCATGTTCAACAAAAGTCTTTCTTGATGAAACATATCTAGATGTAGCCGTCCAATCATATCCACTGTAGCACTAAGTTTAAATTCTTCTGCTCTTTTATTGAATCCCTCATTAGGTTGCTTATCCGCAGTATCAAAAACATTCATACGGCCTGCTGTATCTTTAAAATATAATTCTGATGATAATTGAGAAGTTTTCGTATCAAAACCATGATTAAGTAATTTTTCTATGATGGCTCTGTAAGGGTACGTGTTATTGCTGGAGGAAATAAGTCTTTCATTTAAGCTTATATCAACTTGAGAAAAGAGGGAGTGCAGAAACAAATTCACGGGTCCCACTTTATCATCTTTTCCGAGAGAGCCGCCATTGCTTTTCAAAATTTTAACTTTGACGTATAACTGAGTTTGAGATAAATCCAAATAGTCATCGCCACTACCCGCGACATTGAATTCGACAGGACTTCCATCCGACACATTCGCAAGGGGATGAAATTCTATCCATTGTCCTCTTTCTATAACTGTTTGGGTTGGAGGTAATGTAAATAAATCGAGTTCAGATTTGGCGCATTCTGGAGAATCTTTTAAGAGGAAAGCCATTATGAGTTGAAAATGTCACGTCTTTGCACTTTCCTGGCTTTAGACGAAATGAAGCGTTTGGGAGATTTGCGTTTCCTTTTAAACTTTCCGTGACCAATCATCATCTCATCTGCTTTTTGAACTGCTTTCCTTGCTAATTTTTTTCCACTTTCTTTAGATCTGGTTTTAAAGGCTGATTTAAAATTTTCTCCTGATATCACATCGTTTGCAATTTGCGTTCCTGCACGTAGAGCTTCTTTTCCAACAGTTTTTGCTCCCTTAATTAAAAATGGCATGGCACTACGGAAAAGTTTCGCAAAAAATCCACCTATTCCGTATCCTTTCTGTAAAACCATTCCCTGATAATACGGCAGACCTTTTCCAGTTTGTCCCACATAATAATCCTCAAAGTGTTTGGTGCAACAAGCATATGGAATGAGCATTTTTGATACAGCTTTTAGAACGTTTACACTATGAATGAATAATTTTTTCTTTTGGTAAAGCTTTTTATAGAATTTGTCTCAAACGAAAGTGGAGCACTATGAAAACTTTACCTCTTTCAAACGGCACCAGACTCCCCGAATGAGACCTTATTTCGATTTCAATCGTTTGAAAATGTTGGCGAATCACTGGTAAATAAAAAGGTCGAGAGTAATGTTTGTCAATAATCTCTCTCTCCGTCTTTCCCTTCCACTGTTACAATTTTCAGAAGGGGGGCTTGTACGTCACCTACGATTTGTGGTTCAACTAAATCACAGTATACATACATAACGGGGAAAAAACCATTCGGATTCGCTACGAAAGGACTTTGGACACTTCCTTCGTAAACACCCGGTTCAAATCCTAAGAGCTCAGCTAGTCCTCCGTGAAGAACCACTTTTGATTGTTCATCCGTCTTTATCATTACTCTTTTCGTAATGTTATGATAAGAAAATTCAATTTTGTTTTTATGAGAAACTAAAGTCATAGCTTTTAATATGTCCGGTATCGTTTCATAATAACCAGGAGGAATATGCCGTCCTTCCAGTTCTCCATTGTGAACAGCAAACCCAAATAAATTATTATCTTTTCCGACATTATACCATGAATGAGGGTAAATAATATTTAGGAGAGCTAGTTCCCAGTCCCCATTACTAAGATCAATAGGAGACGGTAGTTGGGTAATAAATCGAGAAATTTTATTGTCTGGAAAAAATCTCCTAGAGCTATCGCTTATGAGTGTTACGTAGAAGGACATTTTCGCTCAAATGAAAAGTAAAATACAGTACGCATGTTTTTATATCATTTTCAAATTTGAAACCCAAGTATTAAATTTTTCAGGGTAACCCTGAAATTTAACAAAGTATTCTGATTTTCCCCAATGCTTTCTTGTCTTCAGTACCTTTTCGACAGGATAGTACCCACAGTCCGCTACTTTTTGTAATTCTTGTTTATAGAAGGTTCCTTGTATATCTTCTCCCGCTAAATCTCTTAATTTATAGACGATAGGATTTCGACGAATTATTTTATGGATTGTAAAAATTTCTCTTGTCCAATTTTGTTCGTATCCTTTCTCGAAGAGCATTTTTTTTTCGCGGCTGATGCGTACCGTGTCTCCAATCTTTAAATCTGAAGGAACAGGTTTTTGTGCTGATTGCTGACCGTACAAAGTTTTCCAAATTTTTTCTTGATTTTGTAGCGTAACCGATGCAGGTTCTGTCTTAATACTTCGATGCCATGTGTTGTTATAACTGGATATCAATTTATCTATAACATCGATGTACCTTCGTGTATTCATTTCGGTAAAGTATTTCCACATTTTAGTTTTAAGGGTCCTATTAAACCGTTCCACGACAGAAGCTTTTGTATTATTGTGTGTCGTAAAAAAGTGGATATTTTTTTCTTTTTCAAAAAATTTTGAACTTGCTTATTGGTAAACTCTTTTCCTGCATCTGTCTGTAAAGACTCGGGTGTACGTTCCGAAAATATCTTTTTGAAAGCAGATTTAATGGACACAGCTGTTTTATCTTTGAGAGGGATAGCCCAAGCGTATTTGGAAAAAATATCTATGCACGTCAGTAAATATTTATAACCACTATTAAAAGATACCAGCGATTGCATATCCACTAAATCAGACTGAAATTGTTCGTCGATGCCCCCTACAATGACTCGGTTGCGTTGGAATCTGTGCCGCAGAGGTCTGTGAAGCGTATAAGAATCTTTCGCCTGCAACCATCTTTTGATTTCTTTGCTTTTTACTCCAGAAACACGTTGTAAAGCATTTATACCACCGAAGCTTGCCGGCTGCGCTGGATCCCGATATGTCAGATTCAGAATTTCTGACATTACAACAGGAATTTTTATCAACAGAAAAAGTTATGTTCATCCTCGGGCAAGCACTACCCAAATAAAATGATAAATCAAAGTGAACATTTATTTATACTTTTTTTATACCCCGCTTCACCTAATCCTAATAACATCTTTTTTAAAAATATTAACTATTTAGTATTTTCTTAGTTAGAAAATTAAAATTCATGCCGAGTCACTCAAAAAGTATACAATTTTTTTTTTAAAAAAAAACAAAACAATATTTTGAAACAAAAAAAGAAAGCAATACAAAAAAGTGAATAAAAACTAATATTTTATTTTATTTTTCAAAAAGAACTATTCAGTAAATCTTTAAACAAATTAGTTTCTTCACATACATATAAATTTTGAATAATATTCAGTACATCATTTACATTAATAACATCAAAAAAGTCATCAGTAACAATTAGTTTACTAAAATTTATATTACATTCATTTTCACGAATGAAGTCATTTGCTATCTCAGGCCAATTAACTGTAAACAAAGCCTGGTCAAAATAAGTTTCACATTTTTCAGCACGGCTTGTTGATAAGCATTCATGTCCGAGCTGATTATTAATCCCTTGTTTGCAACCAAAACACACAAAAAGTTCTGAAATTTTTTTAGAAATAAATTTTTCAATACACTTACACAAAGAGTCCTGCAGCTCATGAAATCCATTTGGACGGTCTGGATCACCAGCATATTCATTCAATTCAAAATGTGTATCACCAACCACCTGCTTTTTCACAAAATAGTTAAGAGTTTTAGAAATAAGTGTTTCCTTCGCGACACCACATATTTCGCTATATATGGAGTCCAGTTTGCGTAAATGTTCTTTCCTCAACAGAACACGTTCCGGTACAAATTCAAATCGTAAATCTTTTCTTTGGAACAATCTTTGTAGTGATATAATTAGTTCACCGTTGACATTTTGTTTTGAAACACACACATCTTTCTTCACAATAAAAACACTATCGGAACCTTCAAAGGAAGCAAATGTATTGGTATGATCGCTCAATTCTTTCCATACTAGAGGAGAAAGCGAAACTCCATCTTTGCTAGGATGTAGCAAATCGTTGTCATCAGTCACATATTTCCGAACGTGAACACGAGTCAAACCTAAAAAACACGATACAGTGACAAAAATATCCCCTCCGAGATGAAACATATTCTTTGGCAAAGAATCAAGCTTCAGCAAAGTTTCGTCATATGAAGCACCGCAAAACTTCTTTGATGATAAACATGAATTTGCAGCTAGACGTTTCATTATGCACAACAGTACAACAAAGCAAACACAAAACTAAATAAGCAACGCGTGGTAACAACTTCCAAAATTTAGCAAGTAATGAATTTCGGAGGCAATCCAGCGGTTGAAACTCGGCTCCGAACTTTTTACTTTGTCTGAATACGCGGATTGGTTAAGAGGGCATGACATCATTTTTCTGCTTTCTGATTGGTCCACAGAAATGTATTCGTTCACCTACGCGGATGTCTACACAAAGGGAGTGAAAAGGCAGACGCCATTTCCCAACCAAATCATGCACAAACATGATAAGGGTGACGTCATTTACCCACCAAGAAAATTCTTCAAAATGGCGGCTATAGAGGAAATCCAAGATGGCGGAGCACGGAAAAACCTTATGCAGATAATTAAGAACCATATCAACCAAGGAATTGTGGGGTATCGCTTAAAGACTTGGATGCGGTCCCCCTCAATCCCTTTTTATTAATTATTGGGTGGTAGCGAGTTCGTACCCCGTGAAAAGGAAATATATTACATTTTCATATTATTTTTTTTACGATCCTGTTACTTTTAGATGATGTTCTGGACGCTAGATGGCGCCAGCAGTAACATAGCTTCAAGAAAATCAGTAC